CATCTTCACCACCACCATCATCATTATCACCATCACCACCCCCATCACCACCATCATCTTCACCATCACCATCATCATTATCATCATCACCACCCCCATCACCACCATCATCTTCACCATCATCATCATCGTTATCATCATCACCATCACCAGCACTGCTGCCATCATCATTATTATCATCATCACCACCATCATCTTCACCACCCCCATCATCATTATCATCACCACCCCCATCACCACCATCATCTTCACCACCCCCATCATCATTATCATCACCACCCCCATCACCACCATCATCTTCACCATCATCATCATCATCATCACCATCACCAGCACTGCTGCCATCATCATTATTATCATCATCACCACCATCATTATCACCATCACCACCCCCATCACCACCATCATCTTCACCACCATCATCATTATCATCATCACCATCACCACCACCACCATGATCATCACCACCATCACCGTCATAATTACCACCACCATCATCACCAGCACCACTACTACCACCATAATCATCTTAACATTCTTTTCTTATTCTTTTTCAGCAAACATTTCTTAGGAAACAACCTGGACAATGTTCAAACAAGACAAATTTTCTTCTTTCATTTGTTGTTAAACTGCGGAAATGGATGTCTTCAGACCTCATGAGCTGTGGGTGTGCCAAAGTTTGCCTTGGGGATGGCAAATATATATACCGCTTCATTTTACTAACCAGCATAAATCATTAAAACTAATAGCCTAAAGTGTAGACTTCCCCAAAGATCTTTCTACCAGTGCTTAAGGGTGGGCAGAACAAGAATCTTACATGGGCTGATGGAGCTGGAACTCCAGACCAGCAGTTTGGGGCAGCTGCCTGCCCAAAGGATTTGGAAAAGGCTTGTTCAGAGTAATGAAGCACACCACTTGGGGATGCCAAGGTTTTTGTCATCTATTTTTTCCTTCTTCTTTTCTGTCCTAATAAACATTGGTGTTAAATCTACTTTCTGTGGTGTCTCTTTTCCTTTCCCTGTAAGAGGTGAAGCAGAGGGTCCCCTCCCTCATTTATCTTTGTGAATCTAGCATCAGAAAATTCACTGTTCTTAGAATAAATGAATGGATGAATGAACATTCAGCAATTTTATACAAGGGCCATATTTTTTTGGTGAAGAGATTATTTTTCCAAGGCCAGCTCTGGAAATAAGGCCACGACTCAATATGAGGTGCACACCCTGATCTTCCAGCAAAGCTGATGTTTCTTGTAGAAAGTGGGTTTCAGCTACTACGTGCCAGAGGCCCTCACCTGCCCCACAACTCCAGAATCAAAGATTGGACATTTAAAGACCAAAAAAAGCATAAATTCAGAGGGCAAGGGAAGGTGGGCCAAATGGTTCAGGGGAAAGGACTAGCATCTTTAAGAAAAGCTAAGAAGGAATGTCCACATACCTAGGCTGTAGAGGAGGGCTTGTCTCAAGGGAGGTTGGGTAGGTTTTCCTAGGGAGAAAGTTAGTTTGTTCAGATATACAGGGGATGGGTGGAAGAGCTGAGTTTTGAACCTAGGAAGCCCCTCACTACTCTGCCTCCCCCACCACCCTATGCCTCTGCCCTAAACCTGATATAGTTTTGCCTGGAATGCAATGATTTTCTAAACTGAGCTCGTGGAGGGCTGAGTGTGTGTCTTACTGGGATTCAGCTGCACCCTTCACCTAGAGGGGGCATCAGCTGTATGCCAGATGCTTCCGTGGGCCCTGACATTTAACGCAGGAACTTGCCCAGGGTACATGGAACAGTCTGTGTGGACAGACTGTTCCCTCAGCCCACCTCTCACCTGCCTCTCAGGGTGTTTTACAAGAACTAGGAGCTGCATATGTGCACGTGGGCAGACTGTAAAGGAATGAGACTGAAAGGTCCCAAAAGGAAAGGAGAGAAGCAGAATTAAAAATAAAGCAGACCTACTAACATGAAGCCAGTAGATGATCTAATACACGTCCACAGAGAGAAAAACTCGATTCAATTCAAAGAAGGGGGAGGGGAAGGAGGGAGGGAGGAGTGGGATTGGCGTGCTCCCTAGTAATGGGCACAATGTGGGGGTACATGGCACACCTCCTAGGGTTGGGACATAACTACAACAGGGTCTATATATAACAAATGCAAGCATTGTAACCTAATTCTTAGTGTCCTCAAATTAACCTGGGGAGAAAAAGATGAAAAAAAAAAAAAAGAAGCAGATCCACAGGGAGCCGATGTCTCATGCCCAGGCAGGGAAGGAAAGGCTTCATTATTCTAAGGACCTGAGGACGGGCTTATGTATCAGAAACCCCCTGGAGGAATAGAAGGGATTCTTCAGCAGTCACATGCAGCCTGGTTCCCAGCCTCTTTCTTCTCCCCTTGCCAAAAAGGCACATGTGGACTAAGGCGGTGAGCAGGTTCAGCAGTGATCTTGCTGCAACTTCACCCTCCTTAAAGCTTGGAAGAAGGCAAGTGAGTGACAACAGTCTTGACAGTGGCAGAAAGCAGCAGTTCAGAATGTAGACTTGGGGCCAGACTGCCTGCTTTTATATCCTGGTACCACCACTGACTAGCTGTGTGCCCTTTGGCAAGCTGATCAACCTCTCTGGGCCTCAGTTCCCTTATTTGTGAAATGAGAATAATCATAGTACTTAGTTCAAAATGTCATTGTTATAATTATTTTATGGAGTAAAACTGGTTATTACATAAAAAATTCTTGGGCATTAGTCTATTGATTAAGACAAAGTTGGTCAGTCTCTTTTTTTCCTATTTTCTTAAAAAATGTCTTTTTAGACCTAATTTTTTTTTAACTTAAGGAAGAGGTGGAGAGTGGTTGGGAGTCTGGGTAGAAAAGCCTCCCTGTTTGAGAAAGAGTTGCCATCTTTATGATATGGAATCTTCCTATTTATGAACATGGTCTATCTCCAGTTATTTAGGCCTTTTTTTTTTGAGACAGAGTTTCACTTTGTCACCCTTGGTAGAATGCCATGGTGTCACATCTCCCAGCTCACTCTTGGGCTTAAGTGATCCTCTTGCCTCAGCCTCCCGAGTAGCTGGGACTACAGGTGCCTGCCACAAGGCCTGGCTATTTTTTAGAGACAGGGTCTCGCTCTTGCTCAGGCTGGTCTCAAACTGGTGAGCTCAGGCAATTCACCTACCTCGGCCTCCCAAGTGCTGGGATTACAGGCGTGAGCCACCGTGCCTGGCCCAATTTAGGCCATTTTTTAATGTCTACTATTAACATTTTGTAATTTTCTTTATAAAAATTCTGTATACAATTTCTAAGCATTAATCCCAGATATAGTACTTGAAAATTTATAATTAGAATTTTCTTAAAATTATATTATTCTGATGCATGTAGGAATATTATTGATTTTTATGTATTGACTATACATGAAAAGGAAGCCTCCTTCCTGGGAAGGTTCTGTGGTGGAAGAGAAATACCTTTACCAAGGGTATTGCCAATGGGAGGCAGTTCATAGGCTTCTGAGCTGCTAGAAGCAGACTACCTGCATAACTTACTGACTAACACAACCTGCACTTTCTGAAACAGGCAGAGACCATGGGCTCTGATGTCCTGGGTATGGGGTTAGAAAGGATGGATATGAGAATTTTCAGAGGGAATTGTATTTTATGTTTTATTTAACCAGCACTGAGTCCCCTGCAGGGAAGTGCACTTATTCTTTTCACAGGTTCAAAGATAAATCAGATTCTAGTTAAAAACACTTGCAGTCTATCAGGGGAGACAGATACACAAGCAGGTAACTGCACTACAGATCAGGGGTTGGCAAACTTGTTCCATAAAGGGCCCAATAGTAAGTGTTTTTGACTTCTGGGCCATCTAGTCTGGTCACACCCACTCTGGTGTTGTATCTGTAAAGCATCCAAAGATAATAAGTAAACAAATGGGAGTGGCTACTCTGGAGGGGTAAGTAGGAGATGAGAGCAGGGCAAGGTGGTGTTGGGGAAAGAAATCTAGTTTTGGAGTAAGATGGATTCGAATTGCAACTTAAGCTCGTGCTGAGCCATGTGACCTAGGAGAGTCACTTAACCTCTGAGAGGCTATTGGTCCGCCATCTTTTTTTTTTTTTTTTTTGGCTAGGGCTGGGTTTGAACCCTCCACCTCCAGCATATGGGGCTGGTGCCTTTGAGCCACAGGCGCTGCCCGGTCTGCCCTCTTTATTTGGGATAACACTACCGGGCTCTACATTGCTGGGGGTAACTGCTAACAATGGATAACTGCTAACATTTTGCTGAGCACTTAAAATGTGCCAGGCACCGTGTTGATACCTTCACTGTGCTAATGCATTTAATCTTCACGATGACCCTGTGAGGTAGGGATGATTATTATACCCATTTTGCAGACGTGGACCCTTGAGGTTTAGTGATGTGCGGGAGTCATTAAATCACAACATTAGGAAGTGACTTGACCCGGATCCCACAGTGTTGGCTCCATGTTGTGCTTCCTTCCTAAGGCCCACAGCAAGCGCCCATCTCCAAGCCTGGCACATGGGAGCCGGTCAAGAAGCATACTAGTAGTCCCTTCTGACCTGCACTTGCAGTTACCAGAGGTCAATGGCAACCTGAAAATTATTCACTGGAAAATTCCAGAAGTAAACAATTCCTAAGTCTTAAATTGCATGCCTTCTTAGTAGTAGGATGAAATCTCTCACCATCTGGCTCCATCTCACTGGGTATGTGAATCCTCCCTTTGTTCAGAGTTTCCAGGCCTTAGACACTCCCAACCCTCTTGTCCCTGAGGTTATCAGGTATTAGACTGCTATGTTATGGCAGCATTTTTGCTCCAGGAACCCTTATTTTACTTAATAATGGCCTCAAATCATAAGAGCAGTGATGCTGGCAATTTAAGTATACCAAAAAGAAGCCACAGGTGCTTCCTTCATGTGAAAAGGTGAACGTTTTCAACTTAATGAGGAAAGAAAAACAATTGGAGGCTGAGGTTGTTAAGCTTTATGCCAAGACTGACTCTTCTATCCATGAAATTATGAGGAAGGGAAAAGGAATTCATGCTACTTTTGCTGTCAGACTTCAAACTGCAAAAGTGAACGGCGCACAGTGCGTGATCAGCGCCCAGTTAGGGTGCAGAGGCCTTAGGTTTGTGAGTGGAAGACAGGAAGAGACACGTGTTCTGATTAATGGGCATCAGGTTTGGTAACGTCTGCGATTTCAGGCAGCCCTGGGGGCTCCTCAAAGATAAGGGGAGACTATTGTGTCCTGCTGAAGCAGAAGCCAGGAGGGCTCTATTTCTGTGACTCGTCTCTCCAACCCTAGCTCTGTGCTTGGTTCCTAGGGGGCGCTCAATGAATATTTATTTGTTGAATTGTGAATTCTCTTCCTGTCCCTGCCGGGTGAGTTGCCAACACCAGTGCTCTGATAAGGCAGAGGGAAAAACTAACTCTTCCAAGGGGAAGAATCCGTCTGCCCGGTGGGAGGGGAGGAAAGGCATTTCAGGCTTGAGCTCTGTGCTCCAGTGCTAGATGCTGGCTTTTATTGCTCAGTGACTGCTGGGTCCAGTTTCTTGGTTTGTTCTTTCCCTCATTTATTCCCTGTGGATCAGGCACTGTGCTAGGGACTAGAAACGCCTCCTGGGGCTTCCACTCCCTCTGGGGTCAGCCTCGCAGAACAGGTTGGCCGATGCAGGTTATGAAGGAGAGGTCAAGATGCCCAGGTGTGTAGGGCATTAACAGGGAGCCCACGTAGAGCAGCTCGTCCAACAAGGCTTCCTGGAGGGGGCACCTTTGGGTTGCTTCAGTTCAGTGGTGTTGAGCATGTCCATGATGTCAGGCAACCATCACCAATGTGTAATTTCAGAACATCCCCAAATGAGACCTTTTACCCATCAAGCAGTCACTTCCCCCTTCTCCCTCCCTGTAGCTCCTGGCGGCCACAGATCTGTTTTCTGTCTCTCCAGAGTTGCCTATTCTGGATATTTCACATAAACCC